AGAGCCGCATGTTGCAGTGCAGCTTCACCATGTTTCTCCTTACGCAAGCAGGCGGGGGCGGAAAACCCTGCAGCGCATCCTACCGGTCGGAGGTTGCAACTTGTTCCTTTTTGCTGTTATTCTATAACATAAACAGCGGAAGTTGTCTTGCCAAAATAAAATCATTAAATCAAAACCAGGAAGTCCGTCGTATATTATACAAAATAAAACGAAGTAAATGCAATAAGTGCAAAAAGGGAATACAACAAATAAGTTGGGCTTATTTACAATCATATCTCGAATTGAAATCGGAAGCATACGTGAAGTGCTGAAAAAGGGACAACTTCCTGACTGTGTGACATTCAATGCCTAAAATTGATGTCTTGGGTCAGTTAGGATTATTAAAAGTATTTCTAAGTGCTTTTATTTAGAATTTTTTTTTACTATGGCTTGTAAAAGAAAGTGACAAAACATTATTATCCCTCTTTTTTATACAGTGTATGTAAATTCATAGCTTCAATTAAAAAACAAAAACTTTATCAATCCCAAATGGAAATTAAATGTTGTTACAATTCATGTCATCTTTAAAGATGACATGAATGGCTGTGGGTAGGAAGGATCTCCTGTAGCAGTCTCTGTTACAGCGTTTCTAATGAAGCCTCTGACTGAAGACACCCGCTTGTTGTGTAAGGTCTCGTCAAATGAGGGCACTTTTCAGATTTATGTTTCTCCTTTCCATTGGTCTTTCACATAAAATCTCAACAAACTAGACTGAAGTTTGCAGTTGTAAAGAGACACGATGTCAACAGGCTTGAAAGGCCTGGATACTTTTGCAAGGCGTTGTGCATACTAGAGATGTTTCTCTTGAAATTCGCAGATGTTACAGAACAGGAATAAAACACATCACCAGGAGGAAATGTTAAGCAATGATGATTTATTAGTTTGCTCCAAAGAATGCCACTGCTACAACAGCTGCAGTAGATAATAAATGCTGAATGGTGTCGCTGAAATTCAAAGATGCTGCAGCTAGATGGGAGTTAGGGGGGGCCAAGGCTTTCAGAGACAGAAATCACAACAAGGAAGAGTCACAAGCTTAGTTGATGGGGTGAAAAGCGCCCCGCTGATGCCACTGCATGTCTCTGATGCGCCGAACTGACTGGATCTGGGGAATCTGAGCTCCGAACTCGCCGCTGTCTTTATACTCCCCCTTTTCAAACAGGTACTGAAAGCCTCTGTAACCTGGATACTGATAGCCAACCCAGCTGGGGCATGAGGAGGAAATTGCATGTCAGAGGGGAAACTATTCAGATTTTTTTTATTTTTTGCCAAATCACTCGTCATCATCATCATCATCATCTGTCGGGAGTAGAAACTTACGTGCCGCTCTGGACCCGGACAGAGGACACCTTCTCCATGTAGCCGTGAGCGTGGAAGCTGGGAACATCGTCATCGATGATTTCTATCTTCTTCCCTGCAAAGCTCGGGTTTTCGTAAAGGACAATCTTGTGCTCCTGGCTGTCCTGCGAGGGAGAGAGAGAGAGAAATCAGCCGATACAGTCTGGCGTCATGTCAGGCAGCTGGCTGATGACGATGACGATGAGGTGAACCAAAAATCCGCTTTGTGTTCTCTCACCACTTTAATTGGTCGAAATGCAACAATGGTGTCGCTGCGCCTGCTGTTGGTCCAGGAATCCCAGCGAGGATACTCCCCCTTCTCAAACACATACTGCTCCCCCTTACAGCTGGCCTGCTCGTATCCCACCCATCTGACAGGACGGAAGAAAGAGACGCAGCCACACGTCAGTCCTCCGTTTGGTCTGTTGCGCTCCAGTTATTTTTTGTCTGCAGGCCTCTGGAACACACTCACGGTCCACACAGCACCAGTATGGAGCCCACTTTCTCCACGCCTGCTTCCTGGAGGTTGTTACAGGGCCCAGTCAGCTCATGGCAGCGGCCCTGGAAGTTTTCCTGCTCATAGATGACGAGCTGTGCAGCGAATGCGCCAAAACAGAAGTTGAACTTGTACTTTTTCATCAATATTGAAGAATTGTTGACGTCGAACAAGCTCCTATATTCCTCACCTTAAATGCACTGCTTCCTGGCTGCTGCTGCTTGGATGCAGGGATCTGGTGATCTGTGGCCATAGTGAACAGATTGGCAGGGATAAACCTGAAAAGAGACACTAACAGTGTTATAATGCAACCCATTCTAGTCCACGCTGACATAAAATACAAACAAATACAAACAAATCTTTGTAGGCATATTTTGTATAAAATATGTAAAAAGAAAAAAAAAACAATGGACACATAGCTATAGACAAGCAATCAATTGTAAATAGTGTATTTATGAGAGATAAAAATGAGCATGATAAGAACAAACCCCTTAGCAGTACCTGTCGGTGCCAGTGTGTCCGTGTCGACACGGGGAGCTCAATATATACTGAACGCCCAGGGGGGGAAACTCTGCCAACAGAACCCAAAGCGGCCGAGCCAGCCAGCAGATCGGCCTGCCATAGGCCAACCGGACTGAAACCAGGGGGGTCACTGTATTACCCCCCCTCCAACCCTCACATTGCAGCCCCAACCCACCCCACCCGACCCCAGAGGGTCATCCTCCCACAAAGTTATTTCATTACTTGTCAGTTTTGTCCGGCCAGTCATTGTTTGATATCCACATGATTCAGCACAAACAGTGCCAAGAGTCCCACAGCCACAATGAGCGGGAGAAAGATAGGAAAAGACGGGTTTTACTGTGCAGCAGAGGTTCGAGCTCAGGGGGAACGCAGTGGAAACACATATCTGAAATCGTGCGCCTCTTATGATTTGTTATCCAGGGTAAAAAAGAAAAAGACATAAATTGAAGAGAAAAAAGAAAACGGACATCCACTTTGAATCTTGTCTGAAAACAGGTGAGCAAAACGAATGTCCTCTCAGATTCCTTCATTGTTTAATTTTAACTAAAAAAAACAACAACAAAAAAAAACATGTCATCTGAGTGTTTGTCGTAACGCTCGAGACACCTTCACCTTATTTTTTGTTACAATCTACTTTATGCATTTTTGTTTCACCAACAATCCGATACAAAACCAAAAACCCAGGTAGGAACAGTAGCATAGACTTCCACTCCAAGACATCACGTTTTTTTAGAAGCTGCTACAAGAAAAACACCTGGAAAATTCTGCTGTGTGTTTAGTGTGATCAATGACATCACAAGAGGTGCAAGAGTCAAGATGATCAAGCTCGCATGAGGACTGTCGACAGATTTCTGGAATGGTCTCTTTAAAAACTTCATTTGCATTTAGGTTGGAAAAGATTACAGCGTGTTTGTGTCTGGTGGCCACAAAGTCGCGACAAAGATCGTTGAGGATGATGAAGCTCCAGCAAACCAAAATAAATCTTCAGAATTTTAGCAGCCACAATTTCTATTTCAGGCTGAGATTTTTTGACAATCATGAATGTTTTGTTTTCAGGACCTCAGTTTGCCACTACAGTGACGTCTGAATTTAGACTGCAGTGAAAAAAGGCTTTACAGAATGAAAGGGAACATGTTTTAAAGGGAAATTTGACAGAAAATAGAAAAAAAAAGAGAATATAAACAAGAAAATTAGAAATGATTGTACTCAGAAGAGCTGATGAATCTCTTTATGCATCATCTGTGTTTTGCTGACGTCTCTTCAAATGTTGCCGTTGATCAAGGCAGGATTTCATTTGAGCTGGTTTTTGTTAAGACCGACCCGGGCTTTAGGCGCAGCGTATCCATCTGTTTTCAACGAGATGAAGGTCAGGGCCCCGTGAAGCCTGTGACCTTTGCTTGGTTTGTCTCGTCTAACGCCAACTTTTCACGGAGTGTCGAGACCTACTGTCCAAAACACAGAACATTCAGCTTTCACCAGTTTCCAACCATCTGTCACAAGCGTTACCTTCAATTCGTTGGTATGTTGAGCTGAAACTACTGAGGCATAAACCTGTCATGAACTGCAGGCTGTTGACACACAGCCAGGCCGCTTCTGCTTTTGCTTATTTGTTGCATTTGAATGTTATGAGAGACAAAAAAATTCTATACAAGCCAACTATGTCAAAAAGAAAATAATTGCCCCTAACTAACAACTGATTGTGCCATCATGGGTGACAACTACTTCCTCCAAAACATTTGAGGACTTTTGAGATGTCTTGGCTTTCTTCGCGTTGTTGGGAGTTGAGATCTAACAGTAATTTAGTCTGAGTGAATGAACTCAGACAAAGAATAAAACTTTACTTTTTAATTCCGGTTCATTTGTGATTCTAACAGGGGATTAGTTCATGCTCCACAAAGGGCCAGACTGGTCTAAACAGCTTTTTCCCCCATCAATAAACGAACACATCACCTATTATATTTACTCATCTGTTTAATGGAGAAACAGTTTGATGACCTGAAGCATTTAAGTGTGACAATGAAGCAAAAGCTGAAAAATGTTGTGCAGGTGGCGGAGGATGTCTGTATTGGAGCCCGTACGTATAATTGTGCATGTAACATAAAATAAATCCAAACTTGTGCATGCAAGCCTTCATTTTTTTTTTAAACGAACCTCTAATTAATCAGACACTTACAAAATATTGACGTCAAGATTTGGGTTTTCCCAAAAGGCGTAGTAATTCTAGTTCACATCAATTTAAGAATAAACATATAAGAAATGTTAATCATTCTGGCTTCCTATTTTAATGGCAAGCACACATACAGCGTGACATCATTTCACTGGACCAGTGAATATGCGCTTCTAAGACTGGAAGAGGTCTGATGCAGCAGACTGAAACAGGAAAACAGTCACCAAAAGTGGCAGATGGGGCGAAAAAGCAAATATAGTTGAAACAAAACTGTGGTTTATTTCATAAAAAAATAAAAAGATCTCAAAATTCACAGTATAAATGACTTTTAATAGAGGCCAATTTTACATTTGTGTTCTGGATTTTTTATTTTTTATTTTTTGCAAATTTTAGGAAAGAAAGTGTCCAACTTTGCAACACAATTATAACATCACCAACAGATTTCAGGTCAAACAACCTTTATTTGCCACTGAAACACACATGGCACTCGTGACAGGCTACAAGTAGCGTTTGCCATGCTTAGGTGAGGGCAGAGGGCCGGCAAAGTGGGGCAGAGCTGGAGTTTGAGAGAGCAGGCAAGGATCCCGCTCAGCTGGCCCCGGCTGTTGCGGGAGGGGCAGGAGGAGCAGGAGCCGGAGCAGGAGCCGGAGCAGGAGCCGGAGCCGGATCAGGGTCTGGGCTGGGAGCAGGGGCCGGAGCAGGGTCAGGGCCAGGAATGATGAAACATCCTCTCTTGTGCCACTGCATGTCCCGCACACGTCGGACAGATTGGATCATTGGAGAGGGGGTCTCCCAGTCGTTCCAGTGCTTGAAGTCTCCTCGTTCGAAGACGTATTGGCGCCCCCTGTAGCCCGGGTACATGTAGCCCACCCACCTGGACGAAGACAGAAGGAGTCATGCTGGGGTTCGCTCCAAGGTTTGCACCTCAGACAGGAGGCGGTCCCTGGGCTCCTTGGCAGGGAAGCATCCTTAAAATCCTTAAAAACTCGTAAATTTACTTATCTAAAGTCAGGCACTTAACATGTCTTAAATACGTTAAAGATGGTGTAATTTGGCCTCAAATTCGTTAATCATAGGTCATAAATTTGGTACTGGCATCATATATTCTACTTTCTATCAGGCAAAAGTCTGCCTGATAGAGCACAGACATCTTCATTCACTGTTCTACAACTCAAGGTTATTAAAGCTATTGCTAACAAGCTGCTGATACTTGCTTGCTAGCGAGTTTGCTTGCTAGCTCCTTGCTTGCTAGCAACATAATAAGCAAATAAGTCAAGAGCAGCTAGCATATGGCTCATGAGCAGCAAGCATATGGATCATTAGCAGCTAGCATATGGCTCATTAGCAGCTAGGATATGGATCATTAGCACCTAGCATATGGCTCATTATCAGCTAAGATATGGCTCATTAAAACTAGCGTATGGCTCATTAGCAGCTAGCATATAGCTAATTAGCAGCTAGCATATGGCTAATTAGTAGCTAGCATATGGATCATTAGCAGCTAGCATATGGCACATTAGCAGCTAGCATATAGCTAATTAGCAGCTAGCATATGACAAATTAGCAGCTACGATATGGATCATTAGTAGCTAGCATATAGCTAATTAGCAGCTAGCATATGGCTAATTAGTAGCTAGCATATGGCTAATTAGCAGCTAGCATATAGCACATTAGCAGCCATCATATAGCTAATTAGCAGCTAGAATATGACAAATTAGCAGCTAGCATATGGATCATTAGTAGCTAGTATATAGCTAATTAGCAGCTAGCATATGGCTCATTAGCAGCTAGCATATGGCTCATTAGCAGCTAGCATATGGCTCATTTACTTATACTCTAAAGTACACCTAATATGTATATAAGCAGACTGAGACTATAACATTTTTAACAATAGTTGAAATCGGTGAGAAAGAAAAAAAAACTATTATTATAAGACATTCTGAAAAAACTCACGTTCCTTTGAGAGCCTTGACGCTCGCCACGCGGTCCTGAAACCCGTGGCCCCACAAGCTGGGCGCGTCATCGTCGACGATCTCCATCTTCCTGCCGGTGAAGCCGGGGCTTTCATAGAGGTGGAGCTTGTGTTCAGCGCTGTCCTAAATCAGCAGAGACAGTCAGTCACCCTAAACTCACCAACACAACAACAACAACTACAAATCAACAAGAGACAAGAACCCCGAAGTGCGTCACTCACCACCTTGAGCGGCCTGAGCGACAGGAGGGAGAAGCTGCGCTGGCTGTTGGTCCAGGTGTCCCAGCGCGGGTACTCGCCCTTTTCCAGAACGAACTGCTCCCCTGTGAACCCGTGTCGGTCGTAGCCCACCCAGCTGAGCGACAGAAACGGGGTGTAGGGCGGGAAGGCGGGGTTTAACTTCACCAAACTGGACCGCGCGAGACGGCAAAGAGGATGGAGGCACTACTCACGGCCCTGAGTCCACGATCAGAGAGCCGACCTTCTCCAGGCCCTTCTCCGTCACGTCTTTGCACTCTGCGGAAAACTCCGCCTTGCAGCCCTGGAAGTTCTCGAACTGAAACACCACCACCTGGACGGACATGCGCGTCTTTGTTAAATACGCGCATGTCCTATCTATCTATCTATCTATCTGTCTGTCTGTCTGTCTGTCTCTCTCTCTCTCTCTCTCTCTCTCTCTCTCTCTCTCTCTCTCTCTCTCTCTCTATCTATCTATCTATCTATATATATGTCTACAAGTAACTTTTCAGGGATGCATAGCTTTTTTTAAGTTAATAATTCCTTAATATCAATGAGAAAAAAATGCTATTTCCACCGGCAAATTCTCTCACTTCTAACAAAAAATAATCTGCCAATGGAACAGGAACTTTTTTCGATCAATATAAAGGTATTATTGACTTAAAACAAGCTCTAATATCTTGTTAAAAAGCTACTACTAAGTTAGTTTTGTCTCATTTCAAGTGCACCCAGATGTCTGTACTAGAACCCAGGCCAAAAATACTCGGTAAGAAATTTTGTGTTGTTGCAGAGTACTTTTGTTTGTGTCCACAGCTGTCAAAACGCAACTGGAGATGAGAGCAGTTGGTGTGACCCGAGCAAGGTTTGACCCGTCTGTGGTACCTTATACTTGGCTCCGGCTCCACCCTGGCTCTTCCCAGCAGCAAGTTGCTGCGGGGCGCTCTGCTGCTCCGACATCCTCCTGATCCGCTGCTCCTCCTCTGTTTGCGAGCAGCGCACACACACACACACACACACACACACACACACACACACACACACACACACACACACACACACACACACACACACACACACACACACACAAAGGCAGCAATCAGACATGAACACGTCAGGAGAGCGGTTTTCTGTCAGGAGCCGTCTCTCTCCTCCAGCTGATTGTACATGATGACGATATGATATAATCGGGCAAATGATACGATGTTCTAAATCGGCTTCCAAATCACTGCAGGTGTGTGCGTCTGGTGAATCACACTTGGTTAAAACCAGCTTGTTCTCCATTCAGGGACGCTGCTCACACTGGGCAGAGAATCCAGAAATTTCACCCAAGAGTTGAAATACTTCATAATAAAAATCCTCAAGTGAAAGTAAGAAAAGTATGGCGTAGTAAAAATACTTCCAAAGGTATAAAAATATATTTTTCCCCCCAAAAAAACGACTTGAGTGAAAATAACTACCGGTAGTCACCAGCCAACTCTATCCATAAATAAAACCCAAAGCTGGATTGTTGTTGTTGTAACTAATTCCAGTGCCCAGCAGATAATAAGCCAATATCATTGATCCCCGTCGTCCAGACCAATTTTTGAATTTATTTTTTACCTTGGTATGCCTGAAAGGAAGTGGTAGCGTGCCACTGCTTTTGTGCCACCCGGTGTTTGGAGGGGTCGAGCCATTAGAGGCCAGAGACGAAGAGGGGGGGGGTATTTATGGCTTATTTCTGGCCACAGCAGCAGAAAAGGGGGAGCTGTTGATACAGCAAGTCTGTCGCTCACATTGTGTCCGTAACGCTGCCTCTCAATAGGCAGCTGTGTTGGCACGGGCTGCCCTGCCCGTCCGCCTGCCCTCGCAGGCGGCTGGCCGGCCGGCCGGGCTGCCAGCGGGCTCTGTGTGTGGGCACACACAGAGAGAGCCAAGAGGATTCAGCAAACAGGTCTGCTCAGCACAAACACACACACAGGCTTCCCCCGCATCCCAACTTTAATCAACCCCACTTTTCAGATTTTGCCACATTACAGACAGACATTTCAGCATATTTTATTAAGCTCGACCAAAACAAAGGAGCCAATTGTTGCAAAAAAAAAAAGGAAATACATAGATTTCACTTTTTTCTTTTTTACAAATAAGCTTCGATGCCCCTAAATAAAATCCAGCGACTGCTTTCCTGTACAAGTGGACAAAGTAGTAAGAAAGCCAATCTGTGTGTACATCCGTCTCTGAAAGGTCGACTGATTTGTCAAACTAATTTGACCTTTCGGTGCAAAAGTTGGATTTAGGCCTGACTCCATAAACAAATCAGTGCATCGCATGATTTTGTATTTCTCTCTTTCTCCAAAACACTGGATGACACAAGTCTTCACGAGTCTTTGCTTTGGTCTCAACTAGCCCTGTTTTTGCTCAGTTTTGTTTCTGGCGACTTCATAAGTCATTTAATTTGTCAATTTATTTATTTTGGCCATTTAAAATGTCTTCCCGTTCAAATGTTAAATGTTCATTGGAATCTAAAGTCTATTGATCTTTGAGTATGTGTTCTGGCACAATTGTAATGTGAAAAGATTAGAAGGGTGTAAACGCCTTCATACAAGACACTATGAGCACTGCGTAGTGCATTCATGACTTTTTATTAGGGATGTATGTATGCATGTATGTATGTATGCACTGACATCGATATCGGCCAATGTTAGCCATTTAAAATATCATATCAGTCCGATAAGTGACACTGGCCCGATGTTTGTATAATACTGGTGAGTATCGGTTATCGGCCATAACGGAAATAACATCGGTTATCTGTTTCTGCCAAAAATTCCAGATGAGTGCATCCCTACTTTTTGTATACAGTATAGCCAACACACTTTCACTTTTCAAAAGTATTTCCGCACTTTTATGGGGGGTAAAAACAAAATCTTTTGGAGATCTTGGGAAAACAAAGACATAATAAAGTCGTGCTAAGGCTCTAAATCAAGTCAACTAAATGTTTTATTAAGAATTTATTTGCTTTCGGACACTGGCCAGTACAACTCAGAGTGTAATAAACATACTTTCAAATAAAAATAAAAAAAAAGGAAAAACGTAAAAAAATAAACCCCTCAAAATCCATAACAAAATAATTCCACATACATCCAAAACCAGGTTCAATCACTCAGATAGCCTTCATCGACATATCCACTTGCATTTACACGAGCGAGTCGAACGAAAACAGAGGACATGGCCGATGAGAAGGGGGCGGGCCAGGTGGGCAGACGTCGAGTGCCTGCAGTGCATCAAGTGACAAAAGTGCTTTGTGGGAAGAGTAATAAAGGGGAGGCCGCTTAAAAAACGTTCACATTTGATTGGAGCGAGAAAAAAAATCATAGAAGGCAGCGTAGCGAGAGGTTTCAGCCAACGCCTCGATGAGACAGAAAGATTGTGCATGCGAACCAAATGGGGACCAAACAGTGGGACGATTGCACATCTGTTGGAAACACATAATTGATGAAAGATGCGAGCGAAACCAGCTGACGGTATGGCTTATGTCGGATGCTTGTAGCCGTTACGCTTCAGGCCGTTAGAGGAGGAGAAACTGGCCGGCTCACAACGCGTTTGTGCTGATTTGTTTTGTGCATGATTGACAGATGCAAGGCTGCTCGAATAAAAAAAGCCCCAAATCGCTCATCAACAACAACAAAAAACAAACAAAAAAAACAACTATGTACAATATGCAGCGACTCTCGAGGCTGTGGAGTGTGTCAGAGTAAAAATCTGAGGAGCCTCTCATGTAGTGACTCATCTTACCAAAAACTAGCTCTCAGTTACAAATATAACATCTTCTATTGACACGTTCCCGCTGACGAGTCAGCCGGCGACGATTTGTTCTTCATGTTCAAAACCTCATTAGTTGTCTGAAATGTTTTCTCACGGCAATTGATCGTGTGACCGTCGTGAACCCGCGCCCTGCGTGCGGACGCTCTCGCGCTGCATCGTGGTCCCTCGAGTTTCAGCCTCTCCTGAAATGCGCCGTCTTTTATTCTTCATCTTCCTCGTTTCTCCGAGGAGAGAGTTGGTCAGCAGGGCCTCCCTGGGTTCGAGTGTGAAGTTGTCCTTGCTTGTTTTCCTTTTAGCCGTAATGGATTTTCAAGAAAAATGAAAAAAAAGGCACCATGCACATTTAGCAAACCAGAAAAGGAGAAAAATAACTAATTCATGGAATTTTTTTTTTTTATATCAGCAGCTGTAGATCCACTTCTCCTCTCTGGATCCAATGTTAAGGCTTCTTTTTCTTACAGATTCATCTGTTAAGGCATCCTTTCACAAAGAAGAAAAAAATACAGATTAAAAAACACACCAATATTTAATATGAACTCAAAATAATCAGAGAAAACAAAATGATTTACCTCTTTGTTTACTTAGCTTTCATTCTCATAGTGACTCAAGCGCTTCTTGGATTTGAGCTCCTTCAGCCACTGCGGCGAGTCCTCCTGGCTGCAGGAGGCGCAATAATAAATCACCGTCAATAATCAGGAGAGAATAGCCACGGAGGGAACAAGAGACGGCAACAGAGAGAGGTACAGCTGGCGTTTCTTACCCGTTTTCTTTCCCACCAGGTGGGGGCAGCACACGCGCTGCGCGGGGGAGGAATGGAGACTTGGGAGAGCGAGACTGCTGGGAGGGAGAAGGAGCCGGACTGTCGCTTTGATTGTCGGACTCGGCCCTCTTCTTGAGCTGGGCCTGAAGACAGGGGGAAGCATTCAGACGTGGCAAAAAGAGAGAAAAAGATACGAGCCACATAAGCAAGAAGTATCCATACGCACAACCACAATCTTCAATTTACATAATGGGGGATTTTATGTACTGAATAAATGTGAGGAGGAAGGAAAAGAACAGACTTTTTACAATATTTAGAAATAAAGAACAAGGCTGACATGTATTTGCATTAAACCCCCAGTTGAATTTTGACATCTCAAAAGAAGAAAGCCATCAAAAAGCCCCGTTTGTCACACAGCGGTCAGATTTCACACGAGGAAGAAGCTGCTCTGGGAAAGACGAGAGAAACGTTTTACTTTTTGGCAAAACATTACGTGGAGGAAAAAACTCTCTAGCCATGCTGTGTCAAAGGTTGACAACATATGAAAGAGAGCATGTGGTTTGAATACTTTTCACAGAACAGTGAGGCAGTCCAGATCCGCGCGTGACAGATGCGTCACAAAGTGCTCACCTTCAAAGCAGAAGGGTCGAGTCCTGGGAACAGAGCGACCCTCTGAGGCTGAGGGGGACCGGCGGGACCCGCCTCAGCTCCCTTTGCCGGCTCCTCGGACTCGGAGTCGTCGTTTTTACTCTCCGCCTTCCCCTCTGTCGGAACCAAAGTACCAATCAGCCGATGATCATCTACTAAAAAGGCTCGGCCAAAAAAAAAATTCCTTCCCCACTAAATCAGAACCTGCGTCGCCCCATTGTTGGTGTGCTAACTGGATATTCTCCAATATGTATTCTTATTACTATGGTTGAAAACTTTGCTTTTTTTTTCCAAATACGTTTCAAAATGCATATCATTTTTATGTTAGTTTTGCAACAGATGAAATAAATAATATTGGCAGCAATAAACTACCAGGGATCATATAACAGCTTAAAAGCTCTAATATGTAACTTCTATTCAAAAATCTTTATTTTTTACATATTAGTTGAAACTATCTCCATGCTGTGACAATATTATCTTCCCAGTGGAAAAGCCCACTTCGTAGGATGCTCCAGTTGATTTTTTTGTCCGTAGTTGTGACTACAACAAAAACACAGCGTCATTGTTTTTATTTATTTTCTAACCCGTCGAGTCTCTGTACAGCCAGCTGTCTGCGTCTCCACCGTCTCCCTGAGCCGACGCCGCGCTCGGCCGGGCCGCCTTGGACGGTCGAACGCGCTGGGCTCGTTTCTTCCCCAGCTGGACTCGAGAGCGTAGAGCGCTATTATCCAGCAGCGTTGTTGGAGCCTGATTATCAGGGTCATAAGGAGAGGATAAACCAAAAAAGAGAAAGAAAAGAGTTGAGAATAAAAGTGCTTTTGCAGTCATGAAAAACATCAGACGGGCAGCTGCGAGGCGAATCTTGCTATGAAACGATCGTTCACACTCACATCGGGAAAATCAAGTGGCTGGATTTCAGAGGAGGAGGAGGGAGACGGGCCGTCCGTGGTGGTGGTGGTGGTCTCTGACTGCGAGGTCTGACCGCCTGGTGAGGGCAGAGGAGTGGGCTTCCTCGGTGAGGGGCTGAGGTTGCTTTCTGAACTTGGAGTGGCAGGTGTGAGGCTATCACAGAATACAAATAAATACAAAAGAAAAAAAGCTTTGTGTTATAAAAACTACTGGAAATGGCAGTGCTTTTCAATTGACCACAAATAGAATAACTTCACTGGATAGTAAAGATCGAACCTTTAGACGCCAAGATTGAAACTCTACTTGACAGCAAGTTCCTATGGCAATAGACACCGTCTCAAGCTGGAACTACACGCTAACAAAAATACATTTTAGCATGAAAAAAGTGATTTTACATGCTAGTGTAATATTTCACAGCAGCAGCTGCTCGAATCGAGCAAAAATTAATTTGTGGGCAGAGTACATGAAGAGCTGAGAAAGACAGAAGAGCAGAAAATAGTCAGGGTTGCACCGATCGCAGTTTTCTGGCCGATCACTGATCTTTAAACTGCCTGATCAAATTTTGGCCAATACCAATTCATTT